GGGGGCCATCAATAGGTCCGCCCTGCACCCCCCACCTTTCGCCCCCACAGCGACACTCGCCATCCGACGTGCACACCCCGCCTCTCACCCCGCAGTGCACTCGCCCTCCGACCTGCACACCCCGCCTCTCACCCCCACAGCACACTCGCCATCCGACGTGCACACCCCGCCTCTCACCCCGCAGTGCACTCGCCCTCCGACCTGCACACCCCGCCTCTCACCCCGCAGCGCACTCACCGAGGCTGAGCGGGACCCAGCCTCATCATCAGGGTCCTCTGCTTCCGTCTCGCTGTAGCAGTCTGGGGAGGGGAGAGGAGGGAACCACAGGATTGGGGAGACCAGGGCATGGCCAGGACAGGGAGTCTGCAGCCTCCACCCAGGTGAGAGTCAGGTCCCTCCCCCCAGCCTGCTGGGACCCACCTTCCTCTCGGGGCGGGAGGGCCCGGCCTGGGGACTGGTACTTGGAGATGCAGGTGATGAGATGGCGGACCCACCTGTGGAGGCCAGACAGGTCTCAGAGAGCCCAGCATCTGGGCCCTGTCCAGTCGCCAAGGCCTTCCCAGGGGGCCTTCCACCGGGCTCGCCCTCATTAGCCCTCAGAGCAGCTCTGAGAGTTGAGACCTCCCACTCTCCCATCTTCCAGACGAGGAGACTGAGGCCCGGGGAAGGAAACACCTCCCCCAGCCACAGTGAGGCGGGGTCCCCTTGAGTCTGGGCTGGCAGGGCTGGGGTACTCACACGCTCAGATCCGTCAGGGTGTCGGCAGCAAAGACGAAGGGCTTGTACAGCTCATGGGTGAGCTGGAACACGCTACGGGGAGCCAGCGCCCAGCGCCCAGTGAGGCCTGGGAGGGACCCGCGCCGGCCAGGCCCCTGCCTCCCTGCCTCCCTGCCTCCCCTCCCCGTGTGCCCCAGGACTTAACTATTTTTTCTTGGGATCGTGCCCACTTTCCAGGCTATAGTTGGAGACGTTGATGAGGCCCGCCGCCTTCTCGTCCTGAGGGGTCACACAGGGTCAGCTCGGAGCCTCAGGGCTCCTCACCTAGACTTTCTAACTGCCTGTTTCTGGGGCTCAGGGCGAGAATCCGGGGTGGCCAAGGTATGTTGCTGGAAGAGCCCCCAGCGACAGCCCAGAAAGCTGGTTAGGAATGAATATCCCTGTTCCCCGGATGGGAAGGCTGGGCCCGGGGAGGCGTGGGTTCTCCCTGGAGCACCCTGGGTGGACGAGGGACGAGCGAGGTGGTGCCGGTGGCTCACTGCTTACCTGTGTGTGCGGGGTCTCACCTGAGGCTGGCTGTACCAGTAGAGCGTGTGTCCCTTGAGCACAAACCAGCAGCGGCGCCAGCGTGGGCCCATGAAGCCACCGGGTGCCTTGCGTAGCAGGAGCCAGCCGTCACAGTCCGGGCGGCCCAGCTGCCGGCACGACACCCGCCGGCGGCTTAGCCGAGTGGCCAGGCCTGCAGGGGCAGGGCAGGGCCATGGTGGGGAGCTGGCGTGGCATCCCAGCTCCCAGCCTGCTGCCCTGTGCCACGGGCCTCCCCGACGGTGTGACGGAGCCCACCCCTGTGCTCGGGAGGCGACACAGGGACACTCCAAGGCAGGGGTGCCGTCTCCTTTCAGAGGCGAGGAAAGCAGAGGTTAAGCCATTGCTACCCGAGCTGGGGAGCCATTGCTGGGAGCCCAGGTCTGCTGACCCCAGACACGGCTCCAGGAAAGGCTGTGGGGGCGAGTGTGTGGGTGGCCTTGACCCTGTGAAAATTTCCTTCCATTTTTTTTTAAGAGAAACTTTTGCTATAGGATGTGTGCACTCGCCAGAGAGAGAGAGACAGAAAGCCAGAAATCACCCCCAGCGGGGGTGTGTGTGTGTGTGTGACCATGCCACAATCCCTTCTTCTCTATTCTCCTTGGGATTTTGGGCACACATGCACACGCGCCCAGCGTGCGTTTTAAGCCAGTGGGTGCAGGACTCGAACCGCGGTAGACAACATGGGAGTCCAGCGACATAACCATTATGCTAACTGCTGGTCCCTGTGCTGTAAAGATTTCTAAGAGCCTGTCATGTGGGGACCCCCCAGGTGCATCTCATACCTTTTGATTTCCTCCGCCCGAGGACAGGACTCTGGAGGGGCAGTGGGAGAGTTAGAGCAGGGTGTAGGCCCAGGGCCCGCACTGTCCCTGCTGCTCCCGAGCCCACCTTCTCAGGGTGTCCCAGGGGCTCTGGAGTCTCTGCGGTGCCCGCTGAGAGTGTGGCTGGAGGTGCAGGGGGGCTGGGCAGGGGCCCTGGGCCAAGGGAGGTGGAGTCTGTCATGGAGGGAGGAGAGAGACAAGGTCCGTGAGCCCAGGCTCAGGTCCCTGGGGGCAGGGGTGGTGTTGAGGGTCAAGCCCGGGCACCCACCTGCTGGTGCAGCTTTGAAACCACCTGTCCAGGCAGGGCTGGGCCCGGCACTGCTCGGCTTTGAAGTCTGGTCAAAAGCAAAGACGTCTTCAGATGGGGTCCTGGGGAGGGCAGCAAGAGGTGAGACGTGCCCACGGTCCCCAAGGACACACCCCGGGCAGACTCTGTTACCTCGGAGACAGCAGGGTTGGAGACTGCGAGGGACTCCTCAGGGCTGGGGAGTCGAGGGCCCGAGGGGGCGTCTGGGGAGTGAGGAGACACAGGGTGACGGAGCTGGTGACGGGGTCCGAGGGTGGGGACCAGGGCCTGGGCGGGGGCGGCACCTGTGGGGGTGTCTCAGGCACTGGGATCTTCTTCAGCACCACGCTGGCCCCGGCGGGCTCCCGCAATAGCTCCTGCAGCACGTTCTTATGGGGCCAGCCCACCTGGGGGACAGGAGGGGCACCCGGGCTGGCGTGAGCCGGGCAGCAGGCTCTGAGGCCACCTACGCATGCCCCCAGACTCAGCCCTCCTGCTTCTTCCCCACCTGGTGCCTCCTCCAAGGAGCCTCCAGGAGCCCCTCCTCCATGGCTCTGCGGAGGCTGCCACCACCTGTGTGGCCACCTGGCTGGCCGTCCTGGCGAAGGCAGCTCCCACACCCTGGCCTCAAGGGGCAGGACCCTCGGTTGCCCTTTCTGCCCACAAGCCCTGGGTGGTCCCCAGAACCCCCTTCACCTCACTCACCACCACCTGCTCGTTGATCTGGACAACCTCGTCTCCGGGCTGGATCTGCAGGTGGGAGTTGGCAGGGACCTGGAAGGAAGACGGGCCAGAGGCTGAGCTGTGCTGGGTCTGAAGCTGGCAGGGCTGGCAGGCAAGAGGGCCTGAGGGGCGTCTAGGAAAGGCGTGGGCTGTCACCTGGGTGCGCACCCGCGACACGAAGTGCAGACAGCTGCTGGTGCTCTGGATGTCCAGGTCCTAAGGGCAGAGCCAACAGTCAGCAGAGGCAGGGGCAGCAGGCCACTGGGCACAAGGTCCCAAAGGTGGGCAGGACTTAGGGGGAGCTGGCCCCGGGTTGGCACTGCTCCCGCTGCTGTGGCCTCTGGGCCTCTGTCTCCTCCTCTGATAAGGGCCAGAGGGAAGTGGAGTCGCCAAGTTCTGAGGCACCCTCCTGCAGGGACAGGCAGAGGTGGGGCCAGAGGGGAGAGGCTGGGGCTCTGGCTTTGCCACCGGTGGAAGGCTAAAGCAGAAAAGTTCATGTCCCCTAACCTGAGCCCCGGCCGAGAGAGGGCTGGGGCTCTGGTTTTGCCACCGGTGGAAGGCTAGAGCAGAAGTTCATGTCCCCTAACCTGAGCCCCGGCCGGGGCTGGAATATACAGCCTGAGAATCACCTGAGTAGCCCCTCGGATTGGGAAAGCGCCCGTCAGTCCCCAGATCGGTCGTGACACCCGTACAACCTCAGCCGTGGCAGCACAACCTCGGTACACTTAGTGCACCTCGGCTGTGGCGGCTCAGGGCTGCAAGGAGTCAGAAGAGAGTGGAGGTGGGCTCACCCGGGGGCGGTCCAGAGGCACCCGCTCCAGCACGGCCCTCTGCAGCAGCAGCTCCTCTGGGCTGCAGTCCAGGATGCTGTGGCAGATCCCAGCCACGTGGTGGCACTGCGGGAGGGGCAGGCCGTGTAGGCCGGTCCAGCCCCCCCC